CCTTTTTACAATTTTTAACAATTTTAACATTTTTAACAATTTCAACAATTTTAACCATTTTACATTTTAACAATTTCAACATTTAATTTTAACATTTTCGTTTTAATATCCATTGCTTTGCTTTTAACATTCCAAAACTGATTGTTCTTACTCAAGAATTTCAATAACTTCGAATGTTAGTCTTTTGTATTTTTCAACATACAAACCAAAATCACTTTGATGTTGTCACAAAAGTAACATCTGTGCGCGCATCGGTTTTCGTTCATTTAAAAACTACAAGTACAAACATCTGGAAACTAAGCAAACATACTCAGTAAATTGATTGCTGTAATTCCTGATTTTTTTTCGCTGTACCGCAACGCAAGCGGGGGGTCGAATGTTCACGGTTTTCACTGTCACCTCTGTATTGTGAACTTATCATTACAGTTAGGAATAATTCCCGGACTTTCTTTTTCCTGCAGCTGTCACCACCGTGAATATATAGTTCCGTGAACATGTCCATTTTTCTCAGGCCGTGAAAATTTTGCTTCCGTTAGTAGTAGTTACAATCTCGTCAAAAGTGTAAAGTAAAGCTGTCGAGATTTAAAGTGCGTGTCGTTGTATCTTTGTAAAAAAAAAGGGAGATAATTGCCAAGTGCCAGTTTTGTAAATACCTGTCGAGATTCAAACAGCTTGTCCTTGTATAATTGCAGTATGATTTATTTAGAATCTCTCATTTTTGTTTGGGGAAGGGTATGGAGTGAAATTCCTACATTTGCTCCGAAGCAAATGTTGGCCTTTCTAGTGTTTCTCATTCTTTCCCTGCCATGTCGTAAAATGTGGTGAAGTCCTGCTTCTAATGTTCTGTTTAAAAGTCCTGAGACTAAGGAGCTGTCGTTGCTGTAACAGAAGTGTGTTCCACAGGGAAGGACCATAGTACTGTAGACTGCTCCGGTATGATGTGATTTCTGTCCGTTTGCGCACAGAATCTATCCCGGCCTCAGCTCGCAGGTTAACCGCTGAGACATGGTCCTGGAGTTTGTGACCTGTAATAAGCCTTGCAGCTCGGTTGACCAGTCTGTCCAGCTGTGACATAAGAGTCTTGTTGCCTTGTACAAGACTTGGTAGCCATGCTGTGGCACAATGCTCCAGATGAGACAGTAGTAGTGTCTGGTACATGGTACGCAGAACTTCCTTTGTAACAAAGGCTCTAGCACGGCCCATGGCTCCGAGTCCGCTAAGAAGCTTCTTCGTGATTCTGTGCACATGTGCTGCCCACCTGAGTGATGGGTCGAGAGTAATGCCCAGGTAGGTGAACGAGTCAACTTGCTTATATACGTTCACACCTTCTGTTATGTTGACGGATGTCCCATCATGCCTCAATTTCTGAGGGAGCCCGAAGAGCATCGATTTGGTCTTTTCAGGATGTAGCAGCAACTTGTTTTCATTTAACCATTTTACAACTCTCTTCATGTCCATAGAGACAGTCTCTTCACAGGCCTTCACGGAATTATGAACTGATGGTATGTGACGTCACATTGTCTTAAACATGCATGTTTATCGAATATTGCTATTATTGTTGAATGTAATAAAAACGTTTTATTTTTTTGTCATAGGCACTTTAAGAACATAACATAGGCAAATGTATCCAGACCAGAACCTATCCCGGTCCTATCACCTAGTCCTATGCCTAAATTGGTTAGGCACAGTTCTGGATAGTCTTCGTGTATCCAAGCGAATTTACCCCAGGCACGGTTATGGAAACACGCGGACTATCAAGAACGGTGCCTAAGCATGTTTCTGGATCAAGGACGGTTCTGGATACAGCAACAATCCCGTCAAGTAGTCTAGAGCCAGATGTCGGAGCTACAGTCACCGCCCGGGTAGCGGACCTCGTGAGCCAGGACCGGACCGTGAGGCTCCTGCCCGAAATCCACCAGGAAGTTCTGGTTCAGGGACAGGCCTCCAATGTCGGTGTTGACGTCAACAATGAACATCAGGGAACCCTCTCTGTAGAGGAAAACAATGCATACTTTTAGAATATCATAATAAAGAAAAACAGTGTCTTATTAAATCTATACAAAAAAACTCAACTGACTGAAGCCAGTTGTAATGTATACTGCATCTATCTATATTGAACTTTGTTGAACTAATTGATGCAGATTACAGCTTCATCTAGTTAAAATGTTTGAAAAGACTAAAAAAGATATCGTTTGTTATGTAAATATATGACACATTTAAATGTGGTATGGGTCAATATTGAAAATAAACTTAAAAATATAATATTAGTATAACCAGAACTGATGATGATGATGATGATAACCAGAACATCAATCGGGATGGTCTTCAAATATGTTGCACGTTATCGTATTTTAGCCTTGTTACTTTAGCTCCCGAACCTCTAATTTATCCTCTCCGCAAACAGAAGAGAAGAAAGACCATTTGCGGATAGGATAAAGATTTGGGAGCTAAAGTAGTTCTGGTATTCAGCTTATACAGCTTATCTTTATGTACAGATCATACATGTACTTATGTTCATGTAGGTAATTCTGATAAAACTCACTTGATCATGTCCGGGTAGAACTGTTTGTCCCAGCCGCTGTAGAGAGAGGTGGTGACGTACAGCCGTTTGCCGTCCAGACTGAGCTGCAGCATCTGCGGCGCTGAGCCGGCCTTCACCCGCCCGTTCAGGACCAGAGGGTCCGGCTGCTGGTCCAGCTCCACGTCATGTGTCACCCTCACAGGACCGCCCTTACAGATGCTCCCGCCGAGGAACAGCTGTAAACCGAATTCGAACAGTAGGTTGAACCATTCTTTATTCAAGAGAAGCTCATGTCGGCCTGCAAGCCGCTTTTTATTGAGGTCATAAGGGAAGGGTTAGGTAATATATATATATAAAATCTGAACTTTACATCAATTAAAGTACTAATTAATCTAATATTATACACACACATATTTATACATACATACAGTTCTATTAACGGAGCTATTTCACTCAATCCACTCTTTAAACCAGGCAGGTGCCAACCTCCATGTTGGTATCTTATTTGCATTTTCTGAAATGTATATAAATATTAAGTGACACATATTTTCCTTTTCAAACATAGACCACTGAGACGGGCTACATGGATTTCTCCAAACAGCACCACAAGAAATCAAATTGACTTTATAATTGTGGATCAAGAACTCAAGCGTACACTGAAAAACAGTCGGTCATACCATTCAGCTGACATTGGCTCAGATCACTCTCTAGTCATGGCCACCTTCAAAATGGATACCCCACTAGAAAGGAAGCCTAAATCAAGGCCTAAACGCTATGATGTTGAGAAGCTGAAAAACCCTGAAGTAGCTGATACTTTCTCCACCAAGATTGGTAATGATTTAGAACCTCTTCTGCAGATGGGTGATCTAGATATCAATGAGCTATACTCAAAAATTTCAAACAGCCACGAACAAAGCCACAAAAGAGGTGGTAGGCTTCAAGAAACATGCAAAACTAGAAGGCTTACCCCCAGATGTAGAACAAGCCTGCGAAGACAGACGGAATGCAAGGCTGAGAATGTTGAGTAGTCCAAATGATCTAGACGCTAAAAGCTCATACCATTGGCACAACAAACGGGTGAAGAACGAAGTCAAGAAACATAAGCATAAGTTAATGAAAGACAAAGTTGCAGCTATGGAAAGGGACCACGTTAACAACAATTCTCATAGCCTTTTCAAAACAGTTAGAGAGCTAGAGAACAAACCAAGAAAACCTCTAAGTGTAATGATTGACAAAAATGGCATAAAGCACACCAACCCAAATGAAGTGTTGCGTATATGGGAAGAACATTTCAAAGACCATCTTAACAAGGAATTCCCGCACCAAGAGGAGGCCTTAGATGATATTCCTAACCCTCCAGCTGAGGTAGAACAAGGCCCTCCCATCTCCCGCGAGGAAGTGATCAACTCTATAAAAAAGATGAAAAACAGAAAAGCTCCTGGAGATGACGCAATAACAGCGGAAGTTCTAAAAGCAGGTGGGGAGAAAATGATTGACATGTTGCACCTGATATTCTCTAAGGTTTGGAACGAGGAGCAACGACCACTAGAATGGTCCAAAATGCTAGTGATGCCAGTGCACAAAAAAGGCAGTAAGATGGATCCAGCAAATTACCGTGCCATTGCTCTTCTATCTATTCCTGGAAAGGTTTTCCTTAGAATCCTGTTACACAGGATGCAAGCCAAAACAGAAGCCCACTTTAAAGAATCACAGTTTGGTTTCAGAAGTGGCAGGGGAACGGTAGACGCCATATTTGTGGTAAGACAAATCTTAGAAAAGGCAAGAGAAAGACAGGTTAACCTGCACTTCCACTTCATCGACTTTAAATCCGCGTTTGACACTGTCTGGAGAAAAGCGTTGTGGAAGATGATGAGAGCTATAGGTGTGGACGCGAAGATAGTCAACATAGTGGAAGAGATGTACAAGAACACCCAATGTGCAATAACTGTTAACAATCAGATCACAAAATGGTTTGAAGTCTGTGTAGGTGTCAGACAGGGATGCCTCATGTCCCCAGTGCTTTTTAACATATTCCTGGAATTCGTAATGGATGAGCTTAAGAGCCTGGATAAGACCTTCCAACTACATGATGAGCTTTCAATGGAGGAAAGATACGCAGATGATACTACACTTATTGCTGCAATCTTTGAGAAACTACAGTTGTCAACCCAGGAGCTAGAGTTTGCTTGCAAAAAAATGGGGGCTGAAAGTTAACGCGGCTAAGTGCAAAGTCATTTCCCCTGAGTTAGACGAGGATGTAAGCATAGAGGGTTCCACGGTTGAAAAAGTTCAAGATTTTGTATTTTTAGGAAGTGTTATTCCTGGTACAACAAGCGATGTCAAGAGGCGAGTTGCCCTTGCCGCTTCTGCCTTTGGCAGACTCAGGAAAACAGTTTGGAACAGGTCTGATGTCAGTAGGCACCTCAAAACCCGTCTGTTACATGCCCTCATTTTCCCAATAGCAACTTATGCTTGTGAGACATGGACATTGAAAAAAAGTGATGAACAACTCCTATTGGCTTTTGAAATGAGATGCCTGCGGGCTATACTGAATGTCTCATGGAGAGACCACATCAGAAATGAGGAAATCCGAGCCATGCTGGGAATGGAAAATACCATAATCGACGACATTCGTAAAAGAAGGCTGAGGTGGTTTGGTCACGTTCAGAGGAGACCCCCAGACTCTCTGGTGTATGGGGCCTACCATCAGGATTTCACAAACCCCAGACCTAGAGGTAGACCCCCTAAAAGATGGCGGGACCAGATAGTACAGGACACGGGGTGGTCCCTCAAGTACGCTGAACGAAAGGCTAAGGACCGTGATGCCTGGCGGGAAAAAATGAAGAGGAGCAAGGGGCCAGTCCTGGCCTAAGCATTTAGGCAGGTAGGCAGGCATTTTCCTCTCCTTGAGTTCCACCATACGATGTTTCTTTTTGAAAGGAAAACAGCCTTGTTGCTTTTCGTTCTTCCCACTCACCTGCCCGACCAACTTGGGGTTCCTGCGGTCAGTGATGTCATACTGCCTGACGTCACCGTGCAGCCAGTTGCTGAAGTACAGGAAACGGTCGTCCATGGAGATCAGAATGTCCGTGATGAGCCCTGATATTTGGGATACGAAAGAAAACATTTTGACGTACGAGTATAAGCTTTGTAAATACGTACAATACGCTGCAATGTACGTATAGATAAAGCTTAAGTTATGCGTATAACACAGTTTACAGAGAGATCACATTTTTCGCTACCACTGTCGCCTTCATCAGGATAATTAATGACCAATCACTTCACAACGTGATTTACTATAATTACTACATACACAGATAAACTTTCATGATTATAGTTTATGTTCTGGCAAGGCCTGTGCATGTTGATATCCTGTAAAAGAATTCTACCGAAAACTTTATTTCTCAATATTCATGTTGTCATGAATATTTCCCGAAGTGCACTGTGGGAAACCAATATGGCGCTTCGCGCTTTGTTCCTTATATTTTGCTCCCTCCCGGATATTTATTTACCTGGCATCTCAGGCAGAGCCCAGCCTTCCACCTTCTTACTTGGGATGTCGATCACCTTCTCTGTTGCCCAGTCACCTCTCTAAAGGTGAAACATTACATGTTATCAGCTGCAAATACGAACTAGGGAGAAATAAGGGATATGCACCAAATCAACGTTCAACAATATTACTGGTATCTCAAATTGGTTCATTGCACAAAACCATATTGCAGCTGAATTGTGCGCTTATTTACAATCTGTCAATGGAATAATAAACTTTCCATTGACAAGACTGAATGTTTTAAAACAAGTACAATTCTAAAATCAATCTAATTGTAAAAGTGTGCAACAAATCTACAATCACACTAAAAGTAGCATTTCAACAATATGTAGTTATACAAACTTAGTTAACTAATAATAACTTGTAGATGATTTGTCTGGGGAAGTCTCAGTACATTAGGTAGGCAGTCCATAAAACATCCATGACTCTTTGGATCACCTGGCCGGATATTGTGGGTTGGTGGGGGAAGGTACATTAGGCTCTTTCCTTGCGCACTTATGACCATGTCTTTGGTTTTCTTCCCGTTTGCGACAAGAGACAAAGAACTGCCCCAGTCATCAATAGAGTTCAGTGCCTTTTGAGTCTGGCCGGGCAAAGACCCCATCAGTACCTCAGAAGTTGTCAAGTCATCAGCATATATGACAGGGGCGACAGAGGCTGGCATACTGGCATCCAGCGAATTTATACATATCACGAACATAGCAGCCCGCCTTGAGGGACACCGGCTAAATCTTTGTGGTGTTTTGACAAACATGACCCTCATTTTTCCATCTGTGTCCTGTTTTCCAGATAGCTGTGGATTGTCGTCCATAAGTGTGTCGGATATTTATATCTGCTAGGGTCTGTAGTAGCTGACCATGGTTAATTGTGTCAAATGCACGTGAAAAGTCAACAAAAACGGCATGGATGCATCGCTAGTAATAATACAACGGTTTGCCCATTGCTAATTGCTAATGTTAGATAAGCAATGCATTTTAAAATGCTCAGCACTGCCGCCCTCTCACCATTGCCGTCATTATATGAGTTTGATGTACTTCATATTTCTGTGAAGAAACAAAACAGAAAACATATTTTCTTGTTATGTTGCGTCATGAGTTCTGTCCCTGATTCTTTGCGCTCTTTGAATAGACACCTTTTACATTGTGTATAGATTTGCTATTATCTAAACTATTGATCTATGTTGCTTTGTCAATTCGTCTTGAAAGTAATCTTACCGGAGTCTTGAAGAACCTGAAGACGTTGCTGCTGAGCGCACAGCCCACGTACCCTTGCGGCTCGTCCGGGTTGTGCAGGAAGCGGATCTCCAGTGGAATGGCGCCCTCGGGGCCGAGGTCAATGTCCTGGATGCGCCTGTGGGTTGTCCAGTCCCAGACGTGAAGGCTCTGGCCGTACTTCCCTGGAATTTAGAACAAAAGAAAGATGCAAAACATAGATACATATTGTAAGTAAACAAAGTGTTGCACACAAAACGTGTGTAGAAATTGAAAATCTTATCACAAAAAAAAATAAGAGGAAAAATTATCGTACACCTAAGATTTCATTTTTATGATAAAATGCATTAACCCTTTAGCTGCCAGTGTTTCTCACCAATACATCCCCTCTGTGCCAGGGTTTCCAGACCCTTTTGAAATAGGGGGTACTACCTTTCTATTACTGTCTTTTTGTCATTTTCCCCTCAACTTACCATATCATTCCAGATATCATTGGAAGGCTAAGAATGTCTACTTTACAGACAAATATTTCAAATGTAGCCTGGCATCAATAGTAATGAATTACAAGGGCAATAATGCAATAAAATAGCTGTTTTCATAGTTGTTTTTGTATTACAATACCTAAACTATATAAAAAGTATAAGTATGAAACCTATAACATTCCTGACATGTCCTGACACTATGAGAATCACATACACGTAAAAATACAGCACTCAGGTATCATTACAGGTAAGTTTATGATCAGATATTATCCTAGGTGCTGAACTGACTATTCAGCTAAAATACTGATCCATTACAACATATTTCACTTCTTTCTGTACCCTCATAAAAGATGGTACATAGACTTGTTACATATCATATGAAAGCATATAGTAGATACTATAACTAGAAATGTATATCAACTTGATAACATAGACTGCAAGGGTCATAAACAGGTAAAGAGGCAATAAAATGTACAATTTCCACCTTGTTTCTATACAATCAACAATAAGCAACCACAGAATGCCTTAGGCCTTGACTTAACAGATCCTGACATGTCCTGACACTATTAGAACTATATACATGTAAAAATACAGCACTCAGGTATCATTACAGGTAAGTTTATGATCTGATATTGTCCTTGGTGCTGAACCAACCAATGTATACATAATAATACATTCCTTCCTGTACCTATGTAATCGATGGTATATATACTTGTTACATATCATACGAAAGCTTATTGTATATACTATGTCTAGGAATAAATATCAACTTGACAATATAAACTACAAAGGCAATAAACAGGTAAAAAGCAATAAAAAGTATAATATTATACTTTATACCAAGGAACTTGAATTTTACATAAAAACTGCTATAAAATAGAAATAAAACTTGCCACTAAATCCACTTTGTGCAGTGAAAACATGGGGAGACTTGGTCAGACTGTTTCCATCCCCCCTCTGCCAGTTTATTACATCATTTGCAGCTTGACCTTTTGAGGGGCGGCTCTGGGATTTAAATCCCCATCAGCTGGCCGGCTGCAACCTCGCCTGTCAGTGCCACGTCCCCTTGTTGCTTGGCCTCTTCCACACCCCCGACCTCGGCCCCGACCTCTACCCCTAGCACGACCACGGTCATTAGTAGTTCCATGGCCGATGTCACATTCACTAATGCTATCTGTTTCCGTGTGAGCACATTTCCTCCCCTGTCTGCTAACACATCTTTAGAATACGCCTCACTTTCACTACTACTCTCGATGGAATCGGCGTCTGATATACGTTAACCATAGGCTAAATCAACAGTAGCGACCTCCTCCAACAGATCTTCGAGGGTAAACGTCGTCATTTTGGTGTTAACAGTCCGAATTCACCGCCCAAAACACGTAAACAAAAGAACAAAGCCTCGGCAGACGACGCCGCCGCCATCTTGGGCAATTACAGGCCGCAAAGCATTGTGGGATGACGTAATCGGTGATTACGCAACCCACTTTGACCTCTGAACTGCCCTCACTTACCGCCGCCAGTCACTTCCTGGTTGGCGCGCGCGAAACACGCAGCTATGCTAAGTTCTCAAGGGGAATACCCTGTCCCGAATATACCCGGGCATGGCACACAGGGGATGTATAGTGATCCCGAATATACCCGGGACCGGCAGCTTAAGGGTGTGGATGGGATATCCTAACTCAGGATGTTAATAAAACATAATCGTTGTAAAAAGCACATATATGCTACACCATGGAACTTGACTGAAACTAAAAAATTCTGAACACAATTCTTGCAAAATAGACTTTCTACAATGTTAAAGACATCTGTTAGCTGTAGGAAATTTACAAAATTGTTAATGCCTGGTAGCTGTAGTTGAATAGCCAGGTTAACTTCGGTCTACCAATGCAAACTAAACACAAGAAAAACTTAATTCATCTGAGAAAGAAAAGAAAAATATCTTCGCACCATCGGCATAATGCTGGGGGTCAAAACCACTGCAAAGCAGTTTTGGGTGTCCCCACTCCGTACTGATCATGACGTTGTGCCGGGGCTGGTACCAGAAGTCGTACCCGAACTCTGTCTCTTCTCCCGGAACCTCCCAGGTCCCCTTCACTTCAAACGTTTCCCCGTCCAGCAGGACAAAACCTCCTAAAACACATGTACGTGCATTAGCCTGTGAAAATCGTGTAATTACTGTTGGAATGATTGTTATCCGTTCGCAAGAGCAGTAGAGCCCTAGGAAATATTGACTTACCCAAAGGAGTATTTGACAAAACTAACACTGACCTACCTGTTCAACATGATCTTATAGAAACGCAATGTCAGCATATTTTTACCAAATTCATGTAATATAACATAATTTATGTCTATTATTTTATCCTATTCCCTCCGCCACAGTCCTTGGTCTCTTTTACAACGCTTGTTAAAATATTGTTTGTACACGTATCAGAGATAAACGTGGTGGTTCTAATAAGGTGAATCAAGTTCAAAGTAACCAAATATGGACAATTTCACAGACACGTGTTCTCGCGAGATCTCGTACCTTTGGCGTTTCCGCTCGGATCACCGATCGTGCTGATCATGATCTCGCCGCTGCCCAGGCAATGGGTATTGTGAGTGTTAGCCAATCCGGTCTTCCACACTTCGGTCGGCTCTACAGTCTGTAAAACACATTTGACTTCTATAACACAAACAAAAGAAAAAAAAGAAGGGATTGGATGTATTTGCTATTACGATTAAATTGAACGTGAGGTAAAAGAATCCATACGATCGTCGTTTGTTATTTGTGTTATTTTTCTATGGTAATTTCTTTCGCGTCTGTTATGCATGTGTATGTACCGTTGCATATCAGTGCTTCGGCTCAAATCGACCTATATATGGTGTACCTAATACATAACCTCCTCTGCGAAGGTAATCATTCCAATCACCTTGTGAATGCGAGGAGCTCGCGGATTGGTTCCCGTGTCGATGACGTATATCCGGCTGGAGATGAGACCAGGACAGATGAGGCGGTTCCTGGACTTGGAGGCGTCGTTAAAACAGGAGCTGCAGGCGTTCCACCCGGTGTGGTGCAGCTCGTCCTTCATGTTCGGCATCTCCAGGCGGTGGATCACCTGACAATTTTTTTTTTTAATTTCAACATTTAATTAATAAACGTAACAGTAAATGTTGGTGACACACTCAAGCAAAAAAGCTTATATTAACACTTAACATAAAAGAGAGACAACATGAGACAAAAATCATGAAAGGAGAAGATCGATATTTTTCGACATGTCTGTGCATGCGTGCGCGACTGCTTATGTGTGTGTGCTTGTGTCTGTGCATGTGTCTCTCTCTTTGTGATTGTGTGTGTGTGATTTTAGATCGTATGAAATATGCTTTCATGATTGCGTACTACCCTTATTGCGTACCTTGCTGTAAGTCGGTGAATTGGGATCCACGTCCACGGTGGCAAGATAGTCAGGCCTGTTTATACCTAAAAAAAGACGCCACATCATGTATATTGAATGCATCTTAAAACGTTTTACGTGATTTGCTATATACACAGTATCTAATGCCGGCCCAGAAAGGAACAAGACACAATCATGCCTTCAAATATCAGAGTTATCAACCAAGAATTGAGGTGTTCAAAAGCTCATACATGTAACATATGTAAATTAGAAGCATTTTTTATACTTTTGATGCTAACTTATTTTCTTTACCAGTATTGCTGTAGATACAGGGAAGGTAGACAATCTGCTCCTTTGGGGCCTTCATGGCGTCCAGCGGGGTGCGATACCCGGGCCCGCAGCCAGGGGCGCTGCAGCACGACTGTTGGACCTGTCCAGTCGACAGGTGTCCCTTCACAACCTCCAGTCGATCACCTAGGCAACAGAATAATGGCGTCATTAATTCGGTCGACATGGCAACTTGTTGCCTTGTTGGTATGGAATAGACTCTTTGCTTTATTCATATTTTTAAAATTTAAACGTTCTAGATTATTACCTCCACAAAGGGGGTTATATTTTGGGTCACAGTTGAGACGCTCGGTCTATCCGTCAATATAATAACTCAACAATGCCTGGTTGGATTGTCTTCATATTTAATATGTAGATAAGTGTTGGCAGGCATCGGGGTGAGATGGATCATTGCCCCCCCCCCTCCCACCTAGCGGCTTGTAACGGTACAGCAGACTCCGGTTTTGTACCTTTTGATCGTAGATAGTACATTGTGTGTTGTTTGCCTGGAGATTGAAAATGGCCAGAAAATCTCTCTCTAACAAAACTACAGAGGGGGGGGGGTATGAAAGATGATGTATCAAGCTTAGTTAGACACAATGATCTCATAACTACTACGTGGTCGGTATTTTCAATAGATAGGCACCCTAACCGAGAAACGTCACTTCCTAAAGCGTTAGTTTAACTGCAGTGTTGCTGCCTGATAATGTAGGTCATTATGTCCACACCTGTTGTTATCTTACCTGTAAGTCTTACCTGCAATCCCCATAAATCTATCTAGGATTGGCGGATCTTACACCTGCGGCATTTAAAACCTTACCGGACCAGTTTTCGTTTGTGTGTAGACTACTGCAAATGCTTTTGATCACGAAATACGATAAACTGTGGAACACTCGATACCTTGTGTGTACTTATTACACTTAAGAAACGAACTTACGGAAACGCGAGGTAAAATGTTTGTATATTAGAAAGTCTCTGCTTCCTCTGATTTCCTTAAACACTACCCTTAGTTAAATACTGACCAAGCAAACATAATAACATATCGCAGTCCCATCAACCACTCCTGTACACGTTTATCGATAGATAATGGCGCTATTTGGGGTTATCATGCATACGTTAGAAACTTACCCATGATGCTGATCACGTTGTAACGTAACGCTGATGCAGCAGTAAGACAATTCGTGTGATTGAGGACTGGGCTCGAGATCAGTTATATGTGCCCTACTTCAGCACGTCGGCAGAACGTACTCCACCTGCGCGAAACCCGTAATGTATTATGCATAGAAAGAATGTCTCATATAATTAAGTTGAGCATATAAGGTTAACGTCCTGTCTAAAGTTTCCAAAGGTTATGTCGAAAACGTTGTCGTTTGCAACAGGCAAAATTCTGATGCAACGTTGACCAAACATCGTGCGAAAACCGTGAAAAATCGGGATTTCACGCAGGCGCAGTACGTTCGGCCGACGTGCTCCCTAGTGCATCAGCATAGTGTGTGGTATGAAGCGAAATATGGTTATTTCTTTAGCTAGTTTATCGCCACACCATTCATCAGCTGTACGTTTTTATGTTCAATTTGCTGTACTTGGAATTTGTAATAGTTTAATGCTTCTTATTTGCAGATTGAGGAACAAAGCGGTCAAGTTAATAGAGCGAAAAGTTCAGTCATTAGATAAGGTATGTCTGCACGGTATGTATACAGTATAGGCAGTGCGCATAATGCTAGAATTTATAGCTCTATCCATTTGTACATGTTTCAATTAAGGCATGGAAAGATGGCATAAGATTTACACCTGGTCGTTCCACCACCACTCAGCTTTTGGAAACATACCACAAAGTTGTGTCCATACTAGACAGTGGGGGGCAAGTAGACATGTTATTTCTCGACTTTCCCAAAGCATTTGATTCTCGACTTTGCCAAAGCATTTGATTTCTCGACTTTGCCAAAGCATTGGTTAGGAGGAATCTGGACTATTGTGGTCTCCACATTCTCGTAAGTTGATATCTCTAGTCGAGGGGGTGCAATGCCGGGGAACAAAATTCATCATAGGTCCCCAGGCTAACCACCTTACCTGCAAGGAAAGACTAGAGACACTGCAGTTGTTACCTCTCACGTTTAGGCATGAAGTTGGGGACATCATGTTATTTGTTTCTGACCTCTGTAGATGATTTTGTCAGGTAATCATTTGGCAATACAGAAAGAATGTTAAATAATTATATCCGTGCATAATATTTGACAACAATAAATACTGTAATTTAGATTCTCAAATCATAGTGATAGTACGTCGATGAAGGTTAGACATCCAGGTAATACGATATGCCAAAAAACAGTTACTCAAGCAACTGGATATGATTTTGAAAACGTCAGACGTTTCAGCTAGTATCCACTAGCTTTCGTCAGTGACTGAGAGACCAGAGGGGAAAGCAGGTTTATATACACAACCTGTTGATTGATATGCAAATAAAGTGAAGACAAATTTTTGGAAGTCGAAAAAGGAACAAAAGTCAGACAAGTCAAGACAAGATGATGCAAATTAGTCTGAAAGCTCCTGTTATACAGGACAGGAGCTTACGTGTTATCTATCTGACTTGAGTCAGCAATTCGTCGGGCACGTTTACCACAGAGACAAGCTGAAGCCTTGCGCACCAAAGTAGCTACCACCCTGAAAGTCTCCAAACCCCCTGCTAGTAACATCACACGGGAAGAACGTACCGCTCTCAAAGATTTGGCCACCAATCAAGACATATTGATTCTTCCTGCAGACAAGGGCAGATGCACAGTAGTCTTAGACAGGGAGCAGTACGACAGGAAGGTACAGGACCTATTGGGAGACAAAGACACCTACATGCCCTTGAAAAAGGACCCCACTAACAAGTTTAAAGGGAAAATCAGTTCAGCTCTCAAGAAATTGCAAACTGAAGGAGTTCTGGATCGCCCCACCTACCTAAAACTCAATCCCACAACGGAACAACCCCCTGCTTTCTACGGCCTTCCCAAAATCCACAAAGTGTCCCTCTACGACCCATAGTCTCCAGTATAGGCTCTGTCACCTATGAGTTAGCAGGTTTTCTAGCCAAGATTTTAGGACCACTAGTGGGGAAATCTCAGCACCATGTACAGAATAGTGCCGACTTTGTCAACAAAATCAAAGACATTCATGTAGAGGATGATGAAACCATCACTTCGTATGACGTGTGCTCACTTTTCACCTCCATACCACCCAAGGAAGCAGTGTCAGTAGTCAAGGAAGCCTTGGAAGCCGATGATACACTTGCAGATAGAACCAACCTATCCGTTGACCAAGTTTGTGAGCTACTAGAACTCTGCTTAGGATGCACATACTTTACCTACAAAGGACAGTTCTATCAACAAATGCACGGCTGTGCTATGGGATCACCAGTCTCACCAATTGTTGTAAACCTATACATGGAGAAGTTTGAAAACAAAGCCCTCAGCACTTTCAATGACACTCCCCCGGCCAACTGGTTTCGATATGTAGATGACACTTGGTGCAGATTGAAAAAGAGGGTAGCTGCTGACTTCTTTGACCACATCAACCAGATAGATGACAACATCAAGTTCACACAGGAGCCAAGCCATGACAACATGCTCCCTTTCCTAGACACCAAAACTATCGTAGAGGAAGATGGTAACCTTCGTTTCGAAGTGTACAGGAAACCAACCCACACTGATCAGTACCTGGCTTTTGATTCCCACCACCCTTTGGAACACAAACTAGCAGTGATCAAAACTCTCTTCCATCGTGCAGACAACATTGTCACTTCAGACCAAGCCAAAACGGACGAACAAAGACACCTCCGAGGTGCCCTGGCTAAATGTGGCTACCAAAACTGGACTTTCAACAAAGCGCTCAAACCTTCAGATCAGTCTAAGAAAACCCAGAAGTGCAAACCATTGACCAACAAAAACAAGGCCAACATCACTATTCCGTATGTCCAAGGAGTATCTGAGAAACTCAGACGGATCTTCCAAAACTTCAACATAGCCACTAACTTCAAACCTCACTCAACCCTCAGACAAAGACTGGTACACCCTAAGGACCGACCTCACAAGGGTACCAAGGCGAATGTTATTTACAGACTCAAATGTGAGGAGCCCAATTGTAACAACACCTACATCGGAGAGACAAGTCGACCGCTTAAAGTAAGGTACAAAGAACATTGCCGACCTAGTGCCAACGGCTACTCCTCAGCTATTTTCCACCACCTACAGCACAACCAGGGTCACTCTTTCAAACTCGAGTCCACGGATGTCTTAGACCGCGAAACACGCTGGTGGGAACGGGGTGTTAAAGAGGCAATATATGAAAGAATGTACAACCCCACCCTCAACAGGGAAGGGGGGCTACGGGTCGATCTTTCCGGCACTTGGGATTTGGCACTCCCAGTCCCGAGGACAGATAACACTTAAGCTCCTGTCCTGTATAACAGGAGCTTTCAGACTAATTTGCATCATCTTGTCTTGACTTGTCTGACTTTTGTTCCTTTTTCGACTTCCAAAAATTTGTCTTCACTTTATTTGCATCAATCAACAGGTTGTGTATATAAACCTGCTTTCCCCTCTGGTCTCTCAGTCACTGACGAAAGCTAGTGGATACTAGCTGAAACGTCTGACGTTTTCAAAATCATATCCAGTTGCTTGAGTAACTGTTTTTTGGCACATAGTGATAGTAAGTGACCCTGTATATTTTGATCTGTATGAACAATAGCATAAATAACTGTTTAAGATAAAGAAATTCAACAATGCATATAATTAGACGTAAAAAGGCAAAACAAAAGATATTCAATTCCCATATGTCGTTAAAAATGATCATATGATGGCCAAAATTCGTAGTTTTGTTTCCACGGATTTTAAAAAGAAAGAAGCTATATAGATGTACAATAGTATATAGTGTTGTACTTAATTTTAGACGTTAGTATTTTACATCATTTTGGTCACCCTTTGGGGCAAGAATATGCATGAAAATGATCTATCTGTTCATCTGCTATTCACTATGTGCAATTTCGCTTGTAGTACCTAATGGAATGTAAGGATTTATAACATTACAAGCAAAACACCAGGCCCAAAGTTTTACACTCACACACATTTATTATATCGCATATTGCTATTATTTTGCATGCATTCTGACACAGATGACAATTTCCATTTTAAATCAATTTTTTGTACCGATATTGGATTGTATCATCACTCTTTAATCAAACGATTTCGACTACTTACGTTTATCTAAATACCTTTCAAGTTTCTAAATGTAGCAGCATGCATTGCACTCCGATTGTTTACGAAAGAAAAAAATTAAGGAATCATGCAATTACTAACTACCACCTATGTAGTCCTTTGAACAGTCCAGAGTTAGTGAACACCATATCTCCTAGATGACGAATCCCACCAGTTTTAATTCTATTTTCTGGATGTAACGTTGAAAGGTAAAAATTATCAGATATAAAGATCAATTGCTTTCTAAGTCATAGTTTCGACTAATTGTATATTATACTCTCGGGTACTGGTTACCTTGATATTGAGAATAATTCCAACAACAATATAACCATTAAGTGGTTTTTGGATTCTAAAAATAGATGTTCATATTCTAGCTGGAATTTACTTGTATCATAGACACAAAATGTCAGTAAGAAAATTAAGTTCATGGCTGCATGGTACTTATCAGTACTGATGACCCTGTGTATGGAATGTATTATGTTGACGTGCGATATTTCTATATGAGAACATCACCTTTGGACACCTCTTGTCGCTTTTTTGGCGAACGCCAGGCAATTGCAGCATGCAGAAAAGCCATTACAAGCTTATGGCACCAGCATTAAACATGGATACAGCTGGATACAGCAACAATCCTGTCAAGTAGTCTAGAGCCAGATGTCGGAGCTACAGTCCCCGCCCGGGTAGCGGACCTCGTGAGCCAGGACCGGACCGTGAGGCTCCTGCCCGAAATCCACCAAGAAATTCTGGTTCAGGGACAGGCCTCCAACGTCGGTGTTGACGTCAACAATGAACATCAGGGAACCCTCTCTGTAGAGGAAAACAATGCATACTTTTCAAAAATCAAAATAAAGAAAAACAGTGCCCCATTAAATCTACCCAAAACATTCAACTGGCTGAAGCCAGTTGAAATGTATGACATAAATAAAGTACAACACGGGGTAATCCGTATCGCTCTAGGTATCAGCCCGGCCGACCGCTAATATAGATACCTATATTGAACTTTGTTGAACTTATTGATGAAACTTGCAGGTTTATATAGTTAAAATGTTTGCAAAGATTTAAAAAAAGATCGTTTGTTATGTATATGTATATCAAATTTAAATTGCGGTATGGTTCAATATTGAAAAGAAACTTTACTAAAAATATATTAGTATAACCAGAACATCAATTAGGATGGTCTTCAAATATGCTGCACGTTACCGTTTTTTAGCCTTGTTACCAGACCTACTTTAGTTCCCGAGTCTTCATCCCCTCCTCAAACAGAAGAGAAGACCATTTGTGGAGAGGATCAAGATTTAGGAGCTACAATAGTTCTGGTATTCAGCTTATAAAGCTGATCTTAGATCATGCTTGTACTAATGTACGGTAGGTAATTCTGATAAAACTCACTTGATCATGTCCGGGTAAAACTGTTTGTCCCAGCCGCTGTAGAGAGAGGTGGTGACGTACAGCCGTTTGCCGTCCAGACTGAGCTGCAGCATCTGCGGCGCTGAGCCGGCCTTCACCCGCCCGTTCAGGACCAGAGGGTCCGGCTGCTGGTCCAGCTCCACGTCATGTGTCACCCTCACAGGACCGCCCTTACAGATGCTCCCGCCGAGGAACAGCTGTAAACCGAAAAGTAGTTTGAAACATTCTTTATGAGAAGTTCTATTAACGGAGCTATTTCACTCACTCCACTCTTTCAACTAGGCAGGTGCCAACCGCCATGTTGGTGTCCTATTTGCATTTTCGTAAAGGTATATAAATATTAAGTGGCACATATTTTCCTCTCCTTCAGTTCCACCATACGATGTTTCTTTATGATGGGTAAAAGAGCCTTGTTGCTTTTGGTTCTTCCCACTCACCTGCCCGACCAACTTGGGGTTCCTGCGGTCAGTGATGTCATACTGCCTGACGTCACCGTGCAGCCAGTTGCTGAAGTACAGGAAACGGTCGTCCATGGAGATCAGAATGTCCGTGATGAGCCCTGACATTTGGGATACAAAAGAAAACATTTTGACGTGTAAGCTTAATAGATACGTACAATACGCTTATGCGTATCAATGTTTCCTTGACAACATTATGAACTTACAGTAAAACTTTGAACTTTATTCCAACACACAGTTTACAGAGAGATCACATTTTAGTGAAAACTATCGCCTTCATCAGGATAATTAATGACCAATCACTCCACAACGTGATTTACTATGATTCACTTATGAACTTTCATGATTATGAACTTTCATGATTATGAACTTATATAGTTTATGTTCTGTCAAGGCCTGTGCATATTGATATCCTGCAAAAGAATTCTACAGAAAACTTTATTTCTCGATATTCATGTTGTTATGAATATTTCCCGGAGTGCACTGTGGGAAACCAATATGGTGCGTGGCGCCTTCCTCACATTTTGCTCCCTCCCGGATATTTCATTTACCTGGCATCTCAGGCAGAGCCCAGCCTTCCACCTTCTTACTCGGGATGTCGATCACCTTCTCTGTTGCCCAGTCACCTCTCTAAAGATGAAACATTACATGTTATCAGCTGCAAATACGAACTAGGGAGAAATAAGGGATATGCACCAAATCAACGTTCAACAATATTACTGGTATTACTGGCTAACATACTCAAGAATAGGTCTGATGAATGTCAGGTCGATCTGCATTAGGACATCTATCGAGATCCCCGCCTTCTTAGCAATACTATTAAAGGTAATACATTCTAGGTCGAGCTCTGTTCAGCATGTACTCAATGTGGACGTCCCACGTCAGGTCGGCAGAAATATTGACCCTGAGTAGTTTGAAGGAGGTGATTCTTTGGATCACCTTGCCGGATATTGTGGGTTGGGGGGGGGGGGGAGGTACATTGGACTCTTTCCTTGCACTTATGACCCTGACTTGGGTTTTCTTCCCGTTTGCGACAAGAGACAAAGAACTGCCTCAGTCATCAGTAGAGTTGAGTTCCTTTTGAGTCTGGTCGGGCAAAGACCCCATCAGTACCTCTGAAGTTGTCAAGTCATCAGCATATTTGACAGGGGCGACAGATACTGGCATCGAGCGAATTGATACATATAACGAACAGAAGCGGTGACAGCAGCCCGCCTTGAGGGACACTGGCTAAAGCTTTGTGGAGTTTTGACAAACATAACCCTAATTTTACCATCTGTGTCCTGTTTTCCAGATAGCTGTGGATTGTCGTCCATAAGTCCTGTGGGAAATTCATATCTGCTAGGGTCTGTAGTAGCTGACCATGGTTAATTGTGTCAAATGCACGTGAAAAGTCAACCAAAACGGCATGGATGCATCGCTCGTAATAATACAATGGTTTGTCCATTGCCAATTGCTAATAAACGGTTAGATAAGCAATGCATTTTAAAGTGTTCAGCACTGCCGCCTTCTCACCATTGCCCTCATTACATAAGTTTGATGTACTTCATATTTCTGTAAAGAAACAAAACAGGATACATATTTTCTTGTTATGTTGCGTCATGAGTTCTGTCCCCGATTCTTTGCGCTCTTTGAATAGACACCTTTTACATTGTGTATAGATTTGCTATTATCTAAACTATTGATCTATATGGCTTTGTCAAGTCGTCTTGAAAATAATCTTACCGGAGTCTTGTAGAACCTGAAGACGTTGCTGCTGAGCGCACAGCCCACGTACCCTTGCGGCTCGTCCGGGTTGTGCAGGAAGCGGATCTCCAGTGGAATGGCGCCCTCGGGGCCGAGGTCAATGTCCTGGATGCGCCTGTGGGTTGTCCAGTCCCAGACGTGAAGGCTCTGGCCGTACTTCCCTGGAATTTAGAACAAACGAAAAATGCAAAAACATGAATAGATAAATAAGTAAGCAAAGTAATGCACAAGAAACGTGTGCAGAAATTAAAAATCTTATCACAAAAACCAAAATAATAGGGCAAAAATTAATCGCACATCAAAAATTTTATTTTCGTGATAACATGCATTACCTTGCTGGTAATGAAAGATAATTGTTGTAAAAAGCACAATATGCTAAACCATGGAACTTGACTGAAACTAATAAATAACATGAATTCTGAATACAATTCTTGCAAAATAGACTTTCTACAATGTTTAAGACATCTGTTAGCTGTAGGAAATTTACAAAATTTTAATGTCTGTAGCTGTAGTTGAATAGCCAGGTTAACTTCGGTCTACCAATGCAAACTAAACGCAAGAAAAACTTAATTCATCTGAGAAAGACAAGAAAAATATCTTCGCACCATCGGCATAATGCTGAGGGTCAAAACCACCTGACAGCAGTTTTGGGTGTCCCCACTCCGTACTGATCATGACGTTGTGCCGGGGCTGGTACCAGAAGTCGTACCCGAACTCTGTCTCTTGTCCCGGAACCTCCCAGGTCCCCTTCACTTCAAACGTCTCCCCGTCCAGCAGGACAAAACCTCCTAAAACACATTGGAATTGTTATCCGTTCGCAAGAGCAGTAGAACCCCTGGAAAGATTGACTTCTTGGTAGTCCTTCGTCGCCGAAGATGACAGTCATTGTGCTGAATCACGAGGGATGAGACCTCATGTGGCTTACCCAAATGAATATTTGACAAAAATAACACTGAGCTACCTTTTCAAGTTCAACACGTGATCTTATTTAAACGCAATGTCAGCATACTTAGTACTTTCGCCAAATTCATGCAACATAACATAATTTATGAAATTGCTATAAGTTCAAAGTTCAAAGTAACAAAATATGGACAATTTCACAGACACGCGTTCTCGCGAGATCTCGTACCTTTGGCGTTCCCGCTCGGATCACCGATCGTGCTGATCATGATCTCGCCGCTGCCCAGGCAATGGGTCGTGTGGGGGTTAGCCAATCCGGTCTTCCAGTACACCTCGGTCGGCTCTACAGTCTGTAAAACACATTTGACTTGTATAACACAAACAAAAGAAAAAAGAAGTGGTTGAGTGTATTTGCTATTATGAAAAAGAGTTAACATAAATTGAACGTGAGGTAGAAAATTCCATACAATCGTCGTTTGTTATTTGTGTTATTTTTTATGGTTATTTCTTTTGCGTGTGTTATGCATGTGTGTATATACCTTTGCATATTGCTCCGGCTCAAATCGACCTACATATGGTGTACCTACATAACCTTCTCTGCGCAGGTAATCATTCCAATCACCTTGTGAATGCGAGGAGCCCGCGGATTGGTTCCCGTGTCGATGACGTATATCCGGCTGGAGATGAGACCAGGACAGATGAGGCGGTTCCTGGACTTGGAGGCGTCGTTAAAACAGGAGCTGCAGGCGTTCCACCCGGTGTGGTGCAGCTCGTCCTTCATGTTCGGCACCTCCAGGCGGTGGATTACCTGTTTTTAACCATAACAGTAACTAGAGAGGTAACATTTGCAAGGCAAATGCATAATGTTTATCTCACATATGGTCTGCTCTGTTAATTATGTTTACCGAAGGAAAACATATTGTTTTTGCTCAGTTTCTTCTTCCTCCTCTTCTTCTTCTCCAAACAGTGTCCTCTGACCTGAACCAATGCTGTGTCTGTTGCTGTGGTAACTGGTGTTGGGTTACATCATGTTGCAATTTTCTAGCAGGAGGGATTTAGACTTCTGCCTGACCATATGTATGAATGTGCTTGAGTAAGAATTAACAGAGCAGACCATATGTGAAGGTAAACATTATGCATTTGCCTTGCAAATGTTACCTCTCTAGTTCTTACTCAAGCACATTCATATATATGGTCAGGCAGGAGTCTAAATCCCTCCTGCTATAAAATTGCAACATGATGTAACCCAACACCAGTTACCACAGCATCAGACACAGCATTGGTTCAGGTCAGAGGTCACTTTTTGGAGAAGAAGAAGAGGAGAAGGAAGAAGAAACTGAGCAAAAACAATATGTTTTCCTTCGGTAAACATAAATATTGGTGACACACTCAAGCGACATAGCTTATATTAACGTCCCTACTTAACATAAAGAGAGACAACATTAGACAAAACTCATGAAATCTTTGTGCATGCGTGCACGTCTGCTTAATGTACATATGTGTGTGTGCCTTTGCCTGTGCATGTGTCTTTCTCTCAGATAAAATATGCTTTCATGATTGCGTACCTTGCTGTAAGTCGGTGAATTGGGATCCACGTCCACGGTGGCAAGATAGTCAGGCCTGTTTATACCTGAAAAAAGACACCACATCATGTTTCTTGAATGCATCTTAAAATGTTTCACGTGATTGGCTATATACACAGTACTAATGCCAGCCCAGAAAGGAACAAGAAACAGTCATGCCTGCAAATATCAGAGTTATCAACCAAGAATTGAGGTGTTCAAAAGCTCATACATGTATCATATGTAAATTAGAAGCATTTTTATACATTTGGTGCCAACTTATTTTCCCTACCAGTATTGCGGTAGATACAGGGAAGGTAGACAATCTGCTCCTTCGGGGCCTTCATAGCGTCCAGCGGGGTGCGATACCCGGGCCCGCAGCCAGGGGCGCTGCAGCACGACTGTTGGACCTGTCCAGTCGACAGGTGTCCCTTCACAACCTCCAGTCGATCACCTAGGTAACAGAAAAATGGCGTCATTAATTCGGTCAGCATGGCAACTCCAAACGTCAGAATACAAGCTTGTTGGTATGGAATAGCCTCTTTGCTTCATTCATGTTTTTATAATTAAAAGGTCTAGATTATTACCTCCACAAAGGAGGTTACGTTTTGGATCGCAGTTGTGACGCTCGGTCAATATAATGACTCAACAATGCGTGGATGGATTGTCTCCTTATCTAATATATGGAAAAGTGTTGGCAGGCAACAGTATTAGTTGGATTATTGCCTCCTAGCGGCTTGTAACGGTACAGTAGCCTCCGGTTTTGTACCTTTTGATCTAAATATAGTACATTGTGTGTTGTTTACCTAGAGATTGAAAATGGCCAGGAAAACCTGTCTCTAACAAAACGTCACGGGGGTTATAAAAGATTATGTATCCAGCTTAGTTAGACACAATGATCTCACAACTATTATGTGGTCGGTTGTTTTCAATACTTAGGCACCGTAAGCGAGAAACGGCACTTCCTAAAGCATTACTTTAACTGCAGTTGCTGTATGATATAATGTAGGTCATTAAGTGCACACCTGTTGTTATCTTGTTAACTCTTACCTGCAATCCTCATAAAACTGATCACCAGTCAGGGATTGACAGATCTCGTACCCTGCGGCTTTTAACAGATCTTACATCTTCGTTTGTGTGTAGACTACTGCAGGTATTTTCTTTTGATCACGAAATTCGATAAGCTGTGAAACACTCGATACCTTGTGTGTACTTAGTAAGAAACGAACTTACGGAAACGCGAGGTAGAAAAAAATGTAGATAAGAAAGTCTCTGCTTCCTCTGATTTTCTTAAACACTCCCCCCTATACTAAATGGTAAGCATCCATGCATAGCAATCGAACAGTCTTGAAACCATGACAGGCTTGTTTTCTTCAAACATTGGGTCTTTCGTATGCATTGTTCCATGGAAGGGGCACAGAGTGGGAGGGGCAGGGAGGGTAAAGTCCTCAAAGAGGCCGCCATATGGGTTGAATGAATTTCCGTAACAAATTAATTCATTGCGAATACTTACTACTCTAATAAACCTTTACAAACCGTAACGCAAGTAAAAAATGGAAATCTATCTAGCTAGATAACACATCAAAATAATCTTTCATTGCAAGTCAAGCTCTTAGTGAAAAGAACGAGGAAACAAGTCCTGGATAGAGGAGAGTGACAGGCTGTGTTGGCCCGTATCCCTGCCAGCTGAGATGTGATGAAGCACTATAGAAGAAGAATGGCTTGTTCCCAAGAAGTGTTCGGGGCAAAAAGAAGCCGGCATTGTTTTCTACTGGCCGTGTCCCGAACAGTCTTTAGCTGGTGAAATCCGACTCTATAGTGTAAGTAAACCTAAGTGCTGCATTGTAAACTATGTAATCTGTAACCAGATCGTCTCGGTGGCACATTCGCAACTATCCGGCAAAACACTACATTACTATGCGTTACAGACAGAATCCAATGTATTGACCAACTGACAAAGTCGTCTGTACAAACTTGTACTGTTACACCAATTTTATAGGGTCATCCTGCCATCTGGAATGGAGGTCGCAAAAATGTCCCTTGACTGAACTTTTCCATCCGTAACCTTTTGACCCTTAGTTAAATACTGACGAAGCAAACTTATATAATAACATATCGCAGTCCCATCAACCGTACTCTTGTACACATTCATAGATAGATACTGGCGCTACTTTTGGGACTTATCATACATATACATACGTTAAAAACTTACCCATGATGCTGATTATGAAGTAACGTAATGCTGATGCAGCAGATTTCAGTATAAAGACAACTGAGGACTGAATGAGGACTAGGCTCGAGGTCAGTTATATGCCCTACTTCCACTGTATAATGTTTGTTTGGACTGTACCATCAGAAAACACGTAGAGGGGTGGAGGTTTTATTCTCGTTTTAATACGGAGGGGGACTTGTGTGATGAATATCAGGAAAGTCCCCCTGCAGTACCTTAGGTAGACACTAGGATGTCAACAATCGACCTTGTCCTTGGATTTGTCACCGCTTTATACTAGTAGGTACCTACCCACATACTAGCCGTGGACGACTCTAGTATCCGGCATTTTCATGCAAAAAGCATTACTAGAGTCGTCCACGGCTACCCACATACCAGATTACGTGTCAATCAATGGTGGAGTTATGATGTTTTGTTTTTTTTTGCCACAAACTGCAGTTAATGTTTCGTAAGACACAGCGTTCATTTGCAAAGCATAAACATATCTACATGCTTATTAGCATCATAGCATTATACCTGGCAAACCCTGTGATAGGAAGAGGTATAAACAACTATGCAGGTGTTTTGTTGTACCATAGGCAGTTGTTTACGACCCGGGTCAACCCGTTCTGTGGTACATGTACTTTGTGCCAGCCATAAGAAAAAACAAACAAAAACATGACACCCCCCTCCACAAAAATGCCTCATTCGTAGAGCCAGGTGCTAATAAAGAGGTTAAATTTAGAATACCGTCTCCTGTTCGACTGCTGTGTCAACTATGATTGATGTACAAAAGTTCACATAAAGTTGAAACAATCTGCCACGGCTGGGGTCACCATGAATAAAGGGGATTTCGACACTTGCGTATACAATTGCAAGATCTACGGTTTCTCGTTAGGCCACAGCAAGTAATCTTTATGGATGACATCAGCGCACACCTTAATTTTCGCCTAATTTTGAAAAAAAAAGAAGAAATTTTGTTGCCTTCTGACAGTGGTCAACATGCCGAAAATGGGCAAATATGTCTGTTGCCATGTCGGAACGTGAAGACAGGAGACAAGAAAAGACTCTGATTCAATGTTTTGTTTTGTTTTGTTTTGTTTTGTTTTTACTTGATGCAGTGATATATGATGCTGGCTGTGTATAAGTGATGTTCCCACTGAATCAAAACCAGTTGTACAATTATTGAGTCAAAATTTAAGAATGTAGGAACCTTGTTTTTCGGCCCGTCTTGTTTTCTTCGCCCGCTCGCATTAGATTTGGAGTCTGCGGAGGATGTCATCCATAAAATGTACTTGCTGTGGCCTTATACCCTATAGCTAACACTTGAAGGTGTTTTGACAGCCCTGCGATTAGGACTTATCATAGGTCTTGGAGAGGATTCAGTTTGCTATCGTGAGCCGGCAGGTTATCAAAGGTCAGGTCTTACAGGGATGATGCAATACAGGATGTTGTTAAGAAGGGCTAGTCTCCACAAGACGCGGGTATGATAGTACGGTAACAGTCAATGGTAACAGTATGGTAGGATAGCATTTAGCACTATGGAATGGTAGCATTTCCCAAGTTATTATGCAAATAATGTCTTCATTGGTATATTTGATATATATCGATGTTCCTCTATTTATATGATTATACTAATCTAACTCTATTAATACAATGTAGTATTAAATTGTGTCAGGAATTAATGACGTTTTCTCGTTTGTTATTGAATTGTGTACAAACTGGCCTACATGTGGAAATGTTGACAGGGCATGATAGTAACATAGAATATCTCTGTCTTTGTATGGGGTAGTGTTATATTGGTCTTACATGTAATATGTTGTAACAATTTTCGTCGGTTTTCATCATAGGTTGGGCAATCTATTATAAAATGTAATTCTCGGCTTATACAAATAACCTTTAAAAGTCGTGAACTGAATTTGCCCCTGAAGTTCAAAGCTTCTATTTATAAAATTAATGAATTACTTATAAATTTTATCTGACTCTATGATAAATGTTGCAAGTCATCGAATTGAATCGACGTTTAATCGAATGGCCTTTTACGTAAAGAAGGGTGGAGAAAACAAGTACTGTACTATAGAAGGGTTATAATCGTAAGGGGAAAATACATGGGTAATGAGAAATGGTGTAATTCAGCAATGGTAACTGCCTGGAATTTCAAATTTAGGGTATTTGAAACTTAAGTGAAGGTGAACATCATTAAACATAATCTATTCAAATAAGAACCTCATTTGCATGATTTATGAGGAAATGATAGAATGGTATTCTTTGTTAAGATAAGACTGTCTATTTGTGAAGAATATGATCAAGTGATATAATTCATGGAAATGGGGATCCTATTTGCATAAACAGGGGGAATAATCTATAATTTGTCAGTCATAAAGATTAACATCATTTAGCGAAGACATGAGATCGTGGACCTCTAGTTACAAAATGCGGTGAAGAGGAAAAACAAGAATGGCTTTTGCCAACACGTGTCCCTGGCCAAATGAAAAGCGCTGTTTGTTCTGGCCATGACCTGAACATTCTTCAGTCGTCTGGAAGAGAAGAGCTGTGGTAAGATCGGGAACGGGACGGTAAACAACTAGCTTGGGTCAACTAAGGATACGTACCACTTTTAAATTAATATTTACCAAAAGCTTTTATTCTTTAGAGAGACTCTCCGTCTCTCTCGCTCTGTGTCTATTTCTTTCCCTCTACAATTAAAGGTTTGATGGGAGATATGGCTACCACAAATTGACCTGATGGTGTTTGTTATCAGGTCAGTTCATGAGATTCTTAATTGACACAACAAAAAAGTACAGAGACTTTTGTATGGTCTTCTACAACTTAACTAAAGATCTAACAAAGCTACATGTAAATACATGTGTGGATAACGCCATCTTACGTACAGAGTATATGTATGCTGTAACGATAAAGGTTAGCTATTCTCTAACATGTGTTCTCTAAGATCGAAACATTCTTTAATGTACTTTCCTATTTGAACACTGTATTGGTTATCTCCCCTGAGAATGTAGTTGCATTTATCTATAGGATCTAACGTATTGAAATCAATTGAACAAGAGGAAAGAAAGGTGAACAGCAATAGGCGCTTATCATTATAGAGTGTAGAAACAAGGAGCCCACACACACTTTTATCCGGGAACGTTTCAACAACGAAAGAGGAGGAGAATCATTTATGTGCTCATTGCCATTTTGAAGAAGTATAGAAACAAAATTGAACAAAAAAGTGAAAATCAGAATTGGCCCAAAGTCCTTCTGGGCTTCTACTTCCAATTAAAAAAGGTCCCATGGATTCTTTAACAGATGCCTTTTTTTCACCAGTCTTAATCATTATCATTGTCATAGCCACTTTTGTAACGTTGATAAAATTGAGAATGGGTGTCATTTTGTAGTTGATTGTACATTATATACAGAACTGAGAGATATTCTCTCTATGGCAGATAGGTTCCCCTGCATGAGACTTTTAGATAAAACAGAACAAATTGTAGTCCTTTTGAAACTAGACAAACCATGTATCATTAGCTCAATATGTAAATAGTAGTTGATATTAGTCTATATACTTTAAGATATTTCTGTAATTTTTCATTACCTGTAGCTTGTATTTATGACCTGTTTATTCATGACCTGCAGCTTGTAAGAGCATAAACGTAAACAATAAGGGTCTTTTCCTGATCGGTGCATGCCCGTCGCCAGGGGTGTTCGGAAGACCCCCACACACAAACACATGGTTTAAAGGTCCAATTTTTATCTAAAGGTCAAATATTCTTCTTTAAAAGGTGGACTGATTTGTATTACCAGCTGGAATCCTTCGCTAGAAAAACTCACTTTGTCATTGAATAGAAAGTTATCTCTGATTTTCCCTTTGAAATACTTTAAAAAACGCAGGAAATGCCATTTTAGAATTCGAAGGTTCAATTTTCAAAATTTTCTGGGGGAGCATGCCTCCGGACCCCTACAAGCCTCGCGCACTCGGCGCTCGCTAGACAGTGGGCCCCCCTCCCCTCAAAATCCTGGCTACGGGCATGCAGTGAACCGTATCGGGTGGGGTAACGCTCCTCCCGGTAGACTTACTCTTTTGTTAGCAGCATTCACGAGTGTTAATTTACGACCGTACACAGAACTTAACGGCCTGCCCGACTTTTGTCCATGACCTCATGACCTAAAATGGTAGGCGTGTCTGTATTTACAATACATGAATTTGCATACAGAAAGCTTTTCAAGGTGTTTTACACCCATTAGACAAAGTATGATTATCTGTACATTAAGGCCCATAACCAGCAGTAAATATATTGAGAAAAATAGTGCAGATCTGTAGTAATACGTTGTTGACTTAAGGTCCTTACGGAATGCACCGTCACGATTGCTACACGGAACCCTCCGTATTTCGTAAATAGAGATCCGTACCAATTCAATATACAACAATCTATACCACAACAGCTACAACAAACGACGGTACTTAGCGTTAAAATGGTGGCAAGGTGTTCTTGTGGTTAGGGTTTTTGGTCCGACCAAAAATTACGACCCTTGAAGGATCTGAAGGTTCAGGGTTCGAATCCCTGACAGGCTTAATCTCCAAGCAGATCATACATTGGCAAGGCAGTATCTTGGCCAGAGGAGTGTCCATTATCCACCGAAGCGGCCAGTGGATACTGTCTTACACTATTTTACTGTTTTTGCGGACACCGAAAAATCTGCTTGGAGATTATAACAGGCCCCTGTGTCAGTGTGCCCATGAAAGGCACGTAACACCTATTTCCAAACTCGACTCAGGAGAAAATGAGTACCCAGCTAGGTACAACGTGATAAATAAACAGCGTACTTACCCATTGTGACAGATGCCGTAAAGCCGGACTAGCTTCAAAAGACTGCGATAAAGACTAATGAGTTGAAGGCCGTCTAGCTCTACCCGCCGGGCACTGAGGAGTGATCTCGAGGCCAAAGGGTCAAAGGTATATATTGACGTCATCAGCAACGTGTGTGCACTCAGGAGTAAAGACTGATGTGATATGGAGATGTATAGATACACACACACACAAACACACACACACATTTTGCAATTAATAACAAATATCTGCGTAACAAAATCGACTCTATTCAGTTAGGACACACCGACTTAATTTTATGGATGACATCCTCCCGCGCATTGATTTTCGCCTGTTCTCCAAAAAAAAAAGGTAATACGACAATACGTAACGTCTGGCCTGTCTCTAGGCCTGGGTAGTCCATGGAAGTTACCGACAATACGTAACCCTGGAGGATGGCACCGATGGCACCAAAGCTCCACGGAACTCAAGAACTCAGTACATACCTACAGTCAGTGCCGATTCATAAGCTCTGCAAAAAGCCAGCATATACTAGTATACCGGCTTGTCGTATACTGCCTCAAATTCACAATACCAGCTTTGTATTCCTGTGGTTTGGTAGCGTTTTCATTTTGGGCCAAAATTTTTTATTCGCCCGCGCGAACTAGTTTAGGGGGTCTTCAGTGGATGTCATCCATAAAATTAAGTCCGTGTGGCCTTATTGCTAAAATTGGAATAACTTAGTAATGTATGTGTCATTTGCAAATTTTTTCCAGACATGTTGCTATTGCAAATGTGATCCATTCTGTACATGCATAAATTTGGAATTTTGCCCTACTACTAGTGCTAGTCATAACTTTCAGGGAGGGACTTTGACCCGTTGACATGAATACAGAGTTGCTGACTAAGTGTGCCAGACCTTAAGTTTGTGACCTTTTGTTTTCCAAACACTTACAGCGTCCGGGACTCTGTAAAGTAAACATGACCCAGACTGCCCGACACGCCGTCTGGGCATTTCATGTTAAACAAAGGTGAAGCAAGGTGAAGTATCAAAGCTAATTCATTAGGCATTCACTTCCCATATTGCCTAGTAAAAGTCACGGATATGACGTAAGACCACCCCCTCCCTTCCTCGATGTAATATTTCCAACAAGTTCTATCGACAAACTGGTCAACTATTGTTTTGAATTATGTCTCTAGTATAAAGCGCATGCCATAATTGCATTTTTGTTGGAATTAGAGAAGATGACGTACCTTCTATCGTTCTAATATACGTAATGCGACCGTGCGAGTAAGAGAGTCTTCGGTAGAACGATAGAACGATGAAGGTACGCCATTTTCTCTAATTCCAACAAAAATGCAATTATGTCATGCGCTTTATACAAGAGAAATAATTCAAAACAATAGTTGACCAGTTTGTCGATAGAACTTGTTGGAGATATTACATCGAGGAAGGGGGAGGGGGTGGTCTTACGTCATATCCGTGACTTTTACTAGGCATTATGGGAAGTGTGAAATTGGTGAATGTATCCCGATGCATGCAGGGAGACGCGGGGCACTATGGGTAGCGCACGGAACAATAACGTACTGTAAATCTTGAAATGATCGTTGTGCTTTTATTTTCGCGGTATTCACGATGACCGCTCCATCGCAAAGTCATGAGATCGCGAATGTGATCTGTTTTATGTAGTATAATAGCTGGATAACCAGTCTTTTAGTACTTAGCCCTCATGGGCATGAATATGCAAATACATGTACTAATGAACATCATTGTCATTGTTTATACCGGCTGCGATGGTGGCAGTGGATTTCACACCTGGCACGGACGTTTATTTACTGGTAAACCCAGATGAAGTCACACTTGCTAACAGCCATGACCTGCGACAGGCCAAAAGATCTATAACGTTAGGCCACACGGACTCAATTTTATGGATGACATCCTTTGAAGATCCCCAAACTAGAATGAAAAAAATCCGGCCAAAACAAATGCTACTAAACCACAGGAATACAAAGCCGGTATTGTGAATTTGCGGCAGTACATAGCGACGTTTACGACAAGCCGGCACATGCTGGCTTTTTGCGGAATTTATGAATCGGCACTGACTGCACGTATGCACTGAGTTCTTGAGTGGTGGATCTTCGGTAGCCTGGGTGCCCGGCCTCGTATTGTCGCTAACTACCATGGGCATGGTGGTTAGGGATCTTAACGTAGAGCCAGGCCAGAGCATCGGTGGATCGACCCTTTTTTTTAGAACAGGCAAAAAAATCAATGCGCGCGTGGATGTCATCCATAAAACTAAGTCGGTGTGGCCTTACATAGCTCACATACCTTAAACGTTTACAATTTCGTGAAATTGTCTTGTTTGCTTTCTAACTACCCATGGTGCCCCGCAGCTCCCAGCATGCAATTAGGTCCATAGAAAGGTGAAAATTGCTCTGACGTCAAAGTTATACATATAATCAGTACGACACATATATAGCGAAATATTTGTGAATGCTATAACAGCTCAAATAGTCATAGAATGAGTATTCTTCTACCATACACCCTGTATGCGAATCATGTCATTTTCATAAAAAAAATAGCTTAAATCCTTTTTTTTTTTACATTTATTTCATTTATTATTCATTTAATCATATTCCTTCTTGGTGACGATGAAAAAGCATTCGAGGCGATACTTACACGCATGCGTGACACATTCAGTTATCTCGGCAACAGGTGCGACGTTTCCCAGGCAGACGGTGATGACGTCACTTCTACAAACTGAATTCTACCAAAACATCAGATAAGCACGTGGGCGCAGTGCTAGTCAAACTAGCTTTTCACTGTGTCAGAACTTGGGCAAAATTCTTCGCTAGCTATAGGTTCTCCAATTTAGCAGTCGTTTAGCTCGACAGGCTTTTAAGAATTTGTCAATTTTGGTTCGATATGGGTTCTCTACCAAAATGGGAAATAAGAGCATATTTTCTTCCCTGGATCGGAGTTACTATCTACGGAGTGCTTCGAGTCCTTATTACATCTTTCAGTGAGTGTTTTTTTTATATTATTGCTAGAATAGATTATTTTGTGATAGTCTTGAAACTAGATTTTATTTTTTTCATTTCAAACTTTCCATTAAGCGGCATGCAGGATGCGTGGCCATTCGGTGTTAACAGTGTTAACAGTAGTCTTGAATTCTAATGCTGATACATGTCTAGAACTATCGCCAGCATTGTATAGGGAGGCAGTGTAAGATATTTTTGGCCGAGTTAACGTTATCTATCATACCCATAGCTCTTATAGACGATTGTTGGATTTTATAAATACATATGTGTATATGTTTGGTTCACATATATACTTCGGTACAATCCTTCAGAGCCGTATTTTAGGATCATTAATAAGATGTTGATTTTGTCACCAGATGTTACCCAAAGAGTCATGGACGGTTTGGATCTCGGCATGTGGCCACTGGGTAAATACAAGGTAAGCGGTGGGGAAACACTCAAGTCGGTTACATTTTAACCTATACGAACAGTTTTCAAACGATCACATTTGTGTGTACTACAGCCATTTGAGTCGACAAAATGCGAATAAGACTGATTACCATATAGCCAGTAGCCGTCGACCAATCATAAGGCTCCATTTCCCATGGGTTATCAGGCCATAACCTATGACCATAACCCATAGTTATTGGACCGTACCATTATACGGGGGACAGGACACTAACAGTGGTGTTAATACTCGTAGTATTTATCTATTAAAAACGTATTGTAATAAGGTTTTGACAATGCAGCATAATCAAATGAAATAAATGAAATTTGAACAGAAAAATACAAAACATAATTTTTGACACCCCACTAAAAGTGGTACTGTTCCAATGTCACGTGGTCACCGCAGATGATCACCTAGTAGATGATCTGTTTTTCTGTCCACACAATCTTGTTTCACGTGACATAGTTCTTTTTGGTAACAGTTTTTTCACGATTTTTTTCGGCAATGGAGGAATTTTATAAAGAAATTTGGGTCAAATAACTGTAAGATAGGCTATATGATAATAACGTTAATGCCCCGCCTTATCCTTGGTGTATATGGTGAGATAATCCCTGGTCGGGTGCGATAACCACCGAATAATCCACCGAGGGAAACGATTATCTCACCATATACCCCTCGGGTCGGGGCATTAACCCTTTATCAATTACCTTATCTGGATTACACTACTAGCACAATCCCACAGGTATATTACTGTACAGGTAGAATTTTTTCTCATAGTTGTCCTTTTGTCTTTCCTAGGACAATGGAGATACACAGTGGACACTATGGATCCACATATTTGGACCACAAGCTCTTTCCGGGTTGATGGGGCATTTTGTTGTTGCACGGATATGTGAGCTGCCTTTCCTCGGGGTAAGCTTGTATCTTTCCTGTCAATCAGTTTTATCATTAACCGCTAGAGGGCGCTAGATCTAAGATTCTGGCATATCATATGTTTATTGTTGGGCATTGCTTTAAACTTACAATATGATATTTGATATCACCCCTTTCTGAAGAAAAGTAGAAACAAACATTAATCAGATCAAGTAAAAAGAGAGAGAGTATTGAAAGAGATTTCGGCAGATCATGCAGTCATCATTTCTTGTTACAGGTTGTCCAACACAAGTTCAACGCATGCGCCGTGTATACGGCCGCGTTCTTGTATTACGTCATCGGCCTACAGTACGTCATCGTGCTCCTGTTTCATACCGTCATCATGTACGTCATCGCTAGGTCAAGGGTTACCTGGTTCTGTTGGCTGTACGGTCTGATAGTGTTCGAAGGACTGACCTTCGAACCGTTCAGAACTTTGCAGGTATGTTATCTAAATTTGTCGTTACATATTAAGAATAAGGACAAAAAGAAAGGAAATAGATATAGATATATAGTATAGTATAGTATAGTATAGTATAGTATAGTATAGTATAGTATAATATAGTATTATACGCAGTAGGACGTATTTTTCCAAAATAAATGTTCATAAGCTCCAACAATCTAAAAGCAATCCCGTCAAAATTTATTTGAAATTATAGAACATTATAAAAACTTAAGGTACCCCCAACGCAATATCAAACTCCAAATCAGTGAAATATTGTGTATCAGTAAAAAATTATTACACTGCAAATTTTATAATACTGAAAGGACCAAAATGTTGTTATCCATATCTTGCCTTCATCTTGAAAACATACTTCCTTCCGACCCACTCAACGCAAACGACGCCACATTATGTACTTTACTTCTTACAGGTAGCCCCTCCCTCCCATACCCTACTAACTGACATGTATCTTTGATATTGTGTTCAACTATATCCACCACTCTGGAAGATTTGACCAATCTCAATAATGTTATGCTATAGGTATTGGTGCGCCAGCCACTTTCATTTTATGTTTATGTTATACTTTATGTCATCTTTATGTTTACATTTGTATTATGTTTTATGAGCAGCGGATTTACATAAGCACAACAAGTGCTTCCTATTCAATGCTCAAAAATCCATGTGAATAAAACAAAATAAATATTGTGCTTTTAACTGTTATAAGAACTTTTTTCATAATGTGTGATCATCAGCAACTTCACAGTCCAACAATCACTAATCTCTATATCACTAATCAATAAAGAATATAGCCAAGAAGTTGTTCCATACGTGCAAATAGTTTGAAAGTACACGTGTTAACGTACAGATAAAAGAGTCGTGTACTTTTATTTTAGCTCGGTGATCATCGGGACCAACCCTACTACATGCCTCACGTGACCTCCGTTACCATGGTAACAAGCATCATGCGTCTCATCAGTCTGGGACTGGACTTGTGTCAACAACAGGAGGAAACAAAGAATGAGGGAGAGAAAAAGGAGAGAAAGAAAAACGGACAGAAGGATGAGTCTTCCATCTTGGAGTGTCTGGTTTACATTTTCTACATGCCGACCTTTTTCTTGGGTCCGTTGATGACGTTTCAAAATTTCAAACAAGAAGTAGGTGTCAACATTTGTATTTCAAAATGTCCCCCTTTGCACAAGTTAATGTGACACTACGTAACGCTCAACATTGTTATTTTGCCTGAATGGTCCGTTTGAAATTTGTATTTTGTTGCATCAAAACTTCAAAACGTGTTACGTTGCACTGCACTAAATATGTGTGTGCAAGTCTTAAACTTGTGGGTGATACATTTATGTTACGATTGATTTTATTAGGAAGGACAAGATAGTTTGAAACATTTCTATAGACTGTACGACGGACGAACGACATTCTGGACACAAAGGCCGCGTTTATATGAAGTCACCCAAACCAAGATTGCTGCCACGTAAAAGCTTAAGTTTGTATTGCATATAGATAAAGAAATATCACCCCGTAATCCATGACCAGGCGAAGTTACAGTGAAATCACATTGCGTTCAGACGCAAATCGCGACGCGGGAAAACCGATTTGAAACCACCTCTAGAAGTGGTTTGGGATCGAGGCGCTTTCAATGTGATTTCAATGGAGCGTTCAGATGGAGCCACTTGAAACCGGCTTCGGGGTAAACCACATGTAAAGCGCCTTGGGTGACTTCACATAAAGCTCCATTTCTGTTTTGTAAGGAGGCAAACGTTATCATTATTCATTCTAACAATTCCAATTGCAGATGCATCAGAATCATCGCGCATGCGGCGTAGCGGAAGTCTGGAGTTTCCTGGTTTCCTGTGCGCGCTATGCATGTTGGGGGTTGCTGTTGGAGTTCCTATACCATCATTTCTTCATCCACATGATCCACAGAACCTTCTTCCTACTTCAAGCCTTGGACATGTGGACACTGGGCAAGTGTTGGCTATGATACATGATATGATTAAATAGTTTATGCTAGCTAACCTGAAGGTAGACTGAATTTAAAGAAGCACGTAAACGATATTCAATGATAGCATAGCCTTATAGAAGAACTTAATTGCACGACAATTGCACATGGTACAATGTATGGCAAACTACATAAAGAGAGTAACAAACAATAAAACGAGTTGAACAAGACCTAATGTCGAATAAAACCTAACACATCTATATCATAATTATTCAAATAATAAGTGATAGCACAAGTCTTTGATAAAGTGTTACAATCGAGTGGGCTAAGTTTCGGAATTTTTTCTAATAACAAAGCATTCCTTTACATATCTACCTATTTTTGCGTTGTGGGGACCATTACATGTAAAGATATATTCAAATCTGTCTCTAACATCGAGACTCTTGAAATCTATTGTACTTGATTCGAGAAATGTAAATAGCTTGTTACGTATAACATCATATTTGGTAAATTCCATAACAAAATGACATTATTTTCTATATGCTTTGAACAAAATTGATATGTTTGTAAACAATAGATGCAGCGTAGCAACTCTTTAGAGTTAAAGTGTTTCTACGACTTTCTCGTGTGAAATTGCATGTTCTACATTTAGTCATTTTCATTAATGTTTTGCTAAGCTGCAACGCCTCAAAGGAGCGAGACTCGAGGGAAACCAAGAATCATCTAAATCATGCTTCTGATGGATCAGTATTGTTAATACAAGAAATATCATTCCATATGAGGTCTTGCTAATTATCTCATAGGTTATACATGATGCAAAACCGGTGCAATAACTCAATTGGTAGAGTGCTCGCTTTGTAACCGGGAGGTCGTGAGTTCAAACCCCGACCGGGTCATACCGAGGACTTTAAAAATGGTGCACACTTCTTTCTCTGCTTAGCACTCAGCACATATGTCTGGAAAAAGTGTGGGAAGGTCAAACATACAACTACCAGCGGTCTAGCCCCCTGCTGTAGTGCATTGCACAATTGTGTGTTGCCCAAGGGCTACGAAAGAGAGACGGGCACCACCCTACGCTCGGCCTAAGAGCACGGGAGACCTTCTTCTTCTTCTTCTTCTTCTTATACCTGATGTCGTTCTGGACCTGTATGTTCCCCAGGTGGTATAGCATTCCTGCAGTGCCAGTGTTTCCAGCTGAAGTACACAGTTCTGTACGGGCTGGTCGGTACGTTCGCCCGAGCAGACGGGATCGTCACCCCGGGAACTCCCAAACTCAGCGCCGGGATCTACACGTTTCTCGACATGTTGAAGTTAGTGGATTTTCCTATCTTACATTTAATTTTTGCTAACGTTACTATAAAATGGTTTTCCGTTTTAACATACTTCCATTGTCAACAAATATTATATAATACTTTTTGTCTTTTTTCCAATAGGAATTTCGACAAAGGCCTCCACAAATGGATGTTGAGGTATTATAACATATTTCTTCAAAGCATGACTATAAATTAATATGTATATATCTAAAATCATTTGGTAGTTTCTTGAAAAATATATGATATTATAGGGATTTACATAATATAGCATTGAAAGTATTGCTTACGCTGGCTTAAGTCGTATACAAACACATGAAGTCCTTTTTGCACTTGTGTAATATTGTCATTCCGCCTCCCCAGGCATGTGTACATTCCGCTCGGCGGGTCCAGACGAGGTTTGCCCCGCCAGATTGTCAGCTCCTTCGCGCCGTTCCTGGTCCTCGCCATCCGCGGTGAAGCAGACATCTCTGTCATCGTGTGGGCCGCGGTCAGCTGGGCCGGGCTCGTTCTCGAAACTCTCGCGAGACTAGCAGCGAGAACTCAATACATCCAGGGACTGAAGGTATGTTTTTGTTGACCTTCATTGAAGGAAACCATTTTGTTTCGCTCTGTTTCCTCATTTTCCTCTGCCTGTTCTTCTTCGAACACATAGGGTCAATGACTTGGACCAGGCGTCTGTCACCATGACGATCTACATTACTACGAATTCGACTGCGCAGTCGATTTAAGCCGTGTTTATGTGAAGTCACCCAAGACGCTTTACATGTGGTTTACCCCGAAGCCGGTTTCAAGTGGCTCCATCTGAACGCTCCAAATCACATTGAAAGCGCCTCGATCCCAAGCCACTTCTAGACGTGGTTTCGAATCGGTTTTCCCGCATCGCGATTTGCGTCTGAACGCAATGTGATTTCAATGTTACTTCACTTGGTCATGGATTACGGGGTGATATTTCTTTATTTATATGCAATACCAAATTTTTCGTGGCAGCAACTTAAAGAGTAGTAATGGTCAAATAATGTGTCCGTTCTAGGGCGAGCTTCACCGCCTCTGGCGGGACCACGTCGGCATTCGGCCGAGATACGCTGGGAGGGGGCACCAGCAACCAGGCCGTTGACCTCTGACAATAATGATACGCTACCTACCTGTTTTCATCAAACAACATTGAATGTAGTTTCGGAGAATCGTGATCGGGCATGTTTTAAAGGTAATGTATGGCACGTGGACCAGATGTGAGAAATGTAAGTTACCCAAATCGCGGTTTGGGTGTCTTCACATAAACACGGCCTTAGACTGACACACCTGCACATGTCACATTTATTCCCCAGCCCTATCTGTCAAATAACTCATGGCGAAAAACATGACAAAATTATTCATGATTCTAAAAACACATTTCATTGATGAAAACAATTTTGTTTCTTACACAGAAGAAGTACAGGCTGTCCGTTGCATCAGAGCGTCGACTGTCGGCGCTCTTCCATGGCTGTCTCCAGGCCCCGGCTTTCATCAGTACGCTCGTCTTGCTAGGGGGCGTCAGCGTGGGGAGGGTCTACCTGTTCAAGACATATGTCATCGGTAAGATAAGTATTACTCCTCCCTCCCAAAAACTAAGATGTAGCTTTTTATCTCATTTATTTAGTACGTAACTTT